AGTGGCTGGGGGATTCTGGGAGCTGAAGTCCACAGATCTTAAGGTTGCCAAGGTTGAAAAACACTGCTGTAGATGGTGCTGAAACATGCAATTTCTAGCTCATGATATCTAGGTTGCATTAATTGTTTATTCCAATTTTGCCCTGTGATTTGTGGCATTTCAAGGCAATTTTAGACCCAAAGCTAAAAGATTATACCTTTCTCATCCCAAGAGAAGTAGAAAGAGGCTTTAAATAGTCACTGATATACATATTTACTTGAGAATCATCACCATTATCATTGAGAAACTGAATAAAAAGTATACCTGCTCAGTTACCCACTCCTAACTATAAAGGTGCCTTAAAAAAAACTTGTATGAGTTTTCATGGTTCATTTGTGTTCATTTTGGTGTTTGGATTTTTAGGGGAGGTGTGTATGTTAAGATGACATTAAAAGTTTAGGAACCCCTGCTATAGACACCCCTGGTGCATCCACTTGTAACTTGGACCTCAGAGCTGAAGTCCCAGATCCAAATAAACCCACAAAAGTAGCAAATCCAGCATCAAATCCAATGAAAAGGGGGGAAAGGTGGATTTATTGTAACAATGGGACTAAAAGGTTCTTTACATCTCCCCGGGCTCTGTCTATACCTCCCCAAGGAAGGTACACCTCACAATTTGGGGAACCCTGTTCTATAGGGAAGGTGTGTAAAAAAAAAGTCACAAACATATAACTGAAGCCTCAATTCTTTTTTTAAAAAAATGTGTTGCATGCACAGCACATGCTAAATATGGTTTAGTCATAACCAACTCACATATTTTTTCATATATTATACCTCAAATTGAGATGGAGGCAGAGAAAGAGAGAGAGTCTCTTATATGCCAGATATCAATTCATTGAACCTCTATGAATGAAGCAAGAGCCAGTTTGGTGTAGTGAATAAGGCACCAGGCTAGAAACTGGGAGACTGGGAGTTCTTGTCTTGCTTTGGGCACAAAGCCAGCTGGGTGACCTTGGACCAGTCCCTCTCTCTCAGCCCTAGGAAACAGGCAATGGCAAGCCACTTCTGAAATCTTGCCACGAAAACCGCAGGGACCTGTCCAGGCAGTCGCAAGGAGTCAACACTCACTCAAAGGCACACACACTATCAATTAAACAGGACAAACTAAACAGAGCTTGACTCAGAATAAGTTCATTTATCAATCATATACAAAGTCCCATTAACCTCTTTTGCAAGATTAAGAGGCTCTTTTCCAAGATTAAGCAGCAGGGGGCAGCACCTGATTAATCATGGTTAGGCTTAAAGGGTAAGCAGGCTTCGAGTCTGAATTAGCACTTGGATGAGAAATCTCAGAGCTATAAAACAAACTGGGAAGTGAAAGACATGAGAAGTTAGCAGCAAACCACTTCTGCATTCTTGGGAAGGAAGCTGCATGGAGGTGTTCCCAAGGTCACCAAGAGCCAGGCTTGACTTGAGGAAGACTTTGCCATGCTTGGAAGGATGGTCTATTATTCAAGCATTTAGCCCTTTGCTCTGAAACATGGGTACCAATCAAAATAATCTATGCTGATGATTTTGGAATTCCAAATAATAAAACAGGCAGGAAGGTGCATTGATAATTGGGTTCATAGATTCAAAATCAGCCATGGCCTGAAAATTTATTCAAAGCACTGGTTCTCATAATTAAATGGGAGAAATGATTATTTGTAGAATGAGTCAACTGAAGTTTCATGATTTACGTCCCACTAAGAGAAATAATAGAATTAAACATGTGCATTATGTTTTCCCACTGAATGAATGTGACTGAAATATAATTAAGATTGGCAGAGCTATGTCCTCAATTAATCTAATAATTTAAATTTTCCAGTGTAATGGTGTAAAAGCAAATTCTGGTGCTTGTGATTTTGGAAACAGATCTGATGATTATAAAGCACTTAGTTGAAGAAGCACAGAAATGTCTGTGATAAATAAATATTATGTTATATACAGAAATTATAGTCAAGAAATATTGTACTAGCTATCTACCTGGACAGAGAGGTTCTATATTTCATTCTGTTATACTATACTATGTCATACTATAGGCAGAGGATAATATTCAAGAGATATGGAGTTGTAAAATTGAGCGTTTTGTGTATTTCATGGTTTTGAAGTTAATATCGTCGACCATCTATTAGAAACATGCTTTGCTTTCAATCACATCCACATTTACTTAAAGTAAAAATTCATTCCATGCTGTTTCCAGAACACTTTATAATTTGTTATGAAAAAAGGGCCTGTACAATTTTTTCTACATATCTTTGTATGAGAATCTTCATGTCCCTCCAGATCTTCCAAGCAGTTTCCCATAACAGATGCCCTTGTTATGGCTATCCTTCCTGATGTATTCCTTTTTGTATACAGTTTTCCCTAATGTATATAAAAGCTAGTCCCAGAAAGTGTTTATTTGACAGCAGCAAGCACATTATTTTGATAACTTGCTCTAAGATTCAAGCTTAATTGTT